AAAAGTATGAAAAAAAAATTTTTTTACCACATGAAATGTTAATTTTAATACACACAAACTGAAAAAGGCATGCACAATTAAATGACACTTACTTTTATTGAAGATCTGGTGATGATTGATGGGATGGGAGGAGGGGAGAGCATATCTTCTTACTGTTTAGAAGGGGAATCCCCTTCCATTTACACTTGAGGTAGCAAGTCCTTTTCCGGGTTACTTCCCTTCTTCTTTTAATGCCACTAGGACCAGCTTGAGAGTCACTGGACCTCTGTCGCACAACAAATCTGTCCATAGAGCTCTGTACCTCCCGTTCCTTTACGATTTGTCTAAAATGGGCCACAAACATTGTCATTGAAATAGTCACCAGCACGGCTTGCAACAGCTGTGTCAGGGTGATTTTCATCTATAAAGGTTTGCAGTTAAACCCCACTGTGCACACATTTCCTTAATCTTTGAAGTAGGCACAATGGATTCCCACAACTGGCATAGGCTTCTCAGGGTTAGCCCCAAACCCTTCAAAATCTTTTAATTTCCATACTAATTCTCACCCTTTTTTTCCACAGGGTTGGCACTAGAAGCTTTCTTGGGGGCCCCTGGTCACTTTTTTTTCCAGAAACAGCACCGAAAAAAACTGTAATAATACGAAATATTCCGAGTGTATGCTTGGATTTTTACCGCGGAGGCTGGCTGGTAAAAAAAATGGGACGGCCGGCACATGTGAGGCTGGCTGAGGGCACATTGGACGCGTCTCGGACGAAAATCGGTTAAGCGGGTTTTTTTAAACGGGAATGCCGCGGCAAAAATTTTGCGATAAAAGTAATCGGTATGCGGAAAAATCGCTATGTGATGCCATCGTTATGCGGGGGTCCACTGTATTTTGAACTTTGCACTAAATTGGCCAAATTACCAATTTCCAATCACTTTATTTTGTAGTTGAAACAGTTGAGTTGGCAATTTCTTGTGCTCAGTCGATAGAATAGAAGTAGTACTAGTGAAATAGCTAAGAATTTGGTCGACTGGAATACGTAATGCAATTGACCTAAAATGGGAGTCAAAGTCGGCAAAATCGCCGATGCGTAAATATCGCTAACATCAAAATTTGCGAGAACATAATTTCGTCAATTTTCCATCAAATTTCGTACTTTTTATTTTATTACCTTCAGAAAAAGATTCTCTACCATTTCATAAGAAAAAAATAGCAAAATTATTTTTTGAAAATTCTTTGGGAAAACAGGGGGTCTTAGGAAACATCCTATGTTTAAACCCTTTCAGGGTCCAGAGGCCAAATTTTTTAAAGTGCAAACCCCAAAATTTCCTGGAAAAATCCCCACGGCCCGGTCTGTGACCGCCTCTTGGGATCAAGCCTATAACCGGGCTGTTACTGCGGCTCAGAAAACCCAAAACGTACGAGCCACAGCCCGGCTGATCAGGAACCGAACTTAAGGTGCTTGTCCAGTGCCAGCTTGAAGACTGCCAGGGGTCTGTTGGAAAATCCCCCTTATGTATGCTGGAAGGCAGTTGAACAGTCTCGGGCCCCTGACACTTATTGTATGGTCTCTTAAACGTGCTAGTGGCACCCGCTTTTCTTTGGGGGGATGTTGCATCGTCTGCCAAGTCTTTTGCTTTCGTAGTGAGTGATTTTTGTGTGCAAGTTCGGTACTAGTCCCACCTGGAAAATCCTAGGGGGCCCTAGTACCGAACTTGCACACAAAAAATCACTCAATACGAAAGAAAAAAGACTTGGCAGACGTTTGCAACACCCCCCCAATAAAAAGCAGGGGTCCACTAGCACTTTAAGAGACCATACAATAAGTGTCAGGGGCCCGAGACTGTTCAACTGCCTCCCAGCATGCATAAGGGGGATTACCAACAGACCCCTGGCAGTCTTCAAGCTGGCACTGGACAAGCACCTAAAGTCGGTTCCTGATCAGCCGGGCTGTGGCTCATACGTTGGTTTGCATGCAGCCAGCAGTAACAGCCTGGTTGATCAGGCTCTGATCCACCAGGAGGCCTGGTCACAGACCGGGCCTCGGGGGCGTTGACCCCCGGAACTCTCTCCAGGTAAACTCCAGGACACTGGTGTGCACTTTGAAATTTGGCCTCTGGACCCTGAAAGGGTTAAACATTAGAATGTTTCCTAAGACACCTGCTGTCCCTGTTTGCCTTTCAGTGAAATAGGTACCTGGGTGTTAGTCAGTTAGTGTGGGTTGCATCCTGGGGACAAAATGAACCTAATTTGCCTAGAAATGCTCTGTACATAGTACAGTGAACCCCCGGATTAAGACGTCATTGGATTAAGTAATAATCAGATTAAGTAATGTTTTTGTGTCAGAATATTGGCTCGGTTAACGACACTGGATTTGGTAAAAGTCATTTGTCCTGAACGTGTCCGCACACTGTGAGTAGCCCGTGTATAGCCAGTGTCCCATTGTTTACCAGCCAGTGAGGACGATTCCACATACAAATGCAATACATTTTATATTATTCCATTGTTTTTAGTGCTTGTAACTGCTAAATAAGCCACCATGGGCCCAAAGAAAGCTTCTATTGCCAGCCCTTTAGTAAAGAGGGTGAGAAACAATATAGAATTCAAGAAAGAGTTTGTGGAAAGATACGAAAGTGATGGTGGTAGAGGGTGGTAGTATGGGCCAACAGGTCTGCTGCAGTGTTCCTGCTTTCTTATGTGCACCAGCCAGGGTACTTCCCCACACACCAGCCAGAGTACTTCTCCACACACCAGCCAGGGTACTTCCCCACACACCAGTCAGGGTACTTCCCCACACACCAGCCAGGGTACTCCCCCACACACACCAGCCAGGGTACTTCCCCATACACACCAGCCAGGGTACTTCCCCGCATACACCAGCCAGGATACTTCCCCACACACCAGCCAGCACACCAGCAAGGGTACTTCCCCACACACACCAGCCAGGGTACTTCCCCACACACACACACACACCAGCCAGGGTACTTCCCCACACACACCAGCTGGGGTACTTCCCCACACACACCAGCCAGGGTACTTCCCCACACACACCAGCCAGGATACTTCCCCACACACACCATCCAGGGTACTTCCCCACACACACCAGCCAGGGTACTTCCCCACACACACCAGCCAGGGTACTTCCCTGCATACACCAGCCAGGATACTTCCCCACACACCAGCCAGCACACCACCAAGGGTACTTCCCCACACACACCAGCCAGGGTACTTCCCCACACACACCAGCCAGGGTACTTCCCCACACACACCAGCCAGGGTACTTCCCCACACACACCAGCCAGGGGACTTCCCCACACCACACACACCAGTCAGGGTACTTCCCCACACACACACACCAGCCAGGGTTCTTCCTCACACACACCAGCCAGGGTACTTCCTCACACACCAGCCAGGGTACTTCCTCACACACCAGCTAGGGTACTTCCCCATGCACCAGCCAGGGTACTTCCCCACACACCAGCCAGGGTACTTTCTCACACACCAGCCAGAGTACTTCCCCACACACCAACCAGAGTACTTCCCCACACACCAGACAGGGTACTTCCCCAAACACGATTTGATTTGATTGGGACTTGCGGATGAGTGAATAGAATTATCAAAGCTTATTGCTTGGGAAACAGTGAAAATTGGGTTGGGCAAATATGATTCTGTTAGTGGGATGGTTTGTAAAGGACATGCCTAGTATGGACCAACAGGTCTGCTGCAGTGTACCTGCTTTCTTATGTGCAAACATTTATGGATGAACATCACCCTGGCAGGTCATGCTTGCAACATCTACAATGACAATGTTGTGTCCCATTTTAGGGAAATCTTAAAGAGATGCCAGAAACAGAGCTCTCTAGACAGATATTTTGTGCGACAGGGGTCCGGTGACTCTGAAGCTGGTTATAGTGGCATTAAAAGACAAAGAAGGGAAGTAACCCCAGATAAGGACTTGATACCTGAAGTCTTTATGGAAGGGGATTCCCCTTCCAAACAATAGTACACCTCCATCCTCTCCCCTCCTCCCGTCTCATCAATCATCAATAAGTCTTCAGTAAAGGTAAGTGTTATTTTAGTAATGTTTTACTCTGCATGTCTCATTGTTTTCTGTGTAGGGAAATGTATGTTTCATGTAGAAAAATTATTTTGTTTAAAGAAACTGTAACTCTCTACAATATTAATTTTGAATACAATTATCAAATAACCCACATTTTTGATACTGATGTTCGCACTGCACTAGTCTGGTACATAGCAGCAGTCCAATATCAGTGTTAATACAGTTAAATGTAATTTATATTATTAAATTTATAAACCATATATCAAAACCTGTACTGCTTAGAACCGTACTATGCAAGGTATTACTGTATAACATGAAATCATAATTTATATAGAACACCTGTATATGAAATATTAGGAGAATATTTAGTGTATTAATATCAAGTATTGACTAGTTCAGTATCATACATTATCATAGTTACACCTAATTATTTATGCAAAGATGAATTAGGTCACAAAAAAAAAATTAAAAAAACAATCATATTTTAACAAGGCATGGTTGCATTAAAAAAAAAAAGTGGATGTGTTATTTACACTGGTCAAAGTCAGGGTATTTTTCCAGAATGGTTTGTAATATACCACTGTGGATAAAATACTTTTTATAATCTTTATTTCTACAAGTATGTGTACAAGATATACAGACCTAGCTGACATCAATGATACTACAGTGGACCCCCAGATAATGTAATTAATCTGTTCCAGAGAGTGTCTTATCCCGAATCTAACTTAATCAGAATTAATTTTCCCCATAAGAAATAATGGAAATCCAATTAAACCGTTCCAGACACCCAAAAGTATTAAAATGTTGTAATGATGCCTTATAATATTTCATCTTTTGATAGTATATATGATTTCATTCATGACTAGTCACTCATTTATGACATTTTAATATCTTAGTTAAATAAAAAATTAATCACTCCTTTATTATATATTTTAATATCTTAGTTAAATAAAAATTAATTAACAAAATTTATTTTTATTGCAGACAAACACCGCACCAAATTCCGTTTGAAAAAACCCATTAATCCTAAAACAAAGCATGCCAGGGGAATAACAATTGTTCCATTGCGGAAGAACGTCAAGGTCCCAGCAGTTACATCTCATAGTAAGAAGATCTCAGCTGTTGAATCAGAACATAAAAAGAAGGTCCCAGCTGTTACATCAGAGCATAAGAAGACGAAGAAGGTCAGATTTGGTGTGTTGGAGCATGAGAAAAAGAAATTCCCAGTTGTTGAATTAGAGCATAAGAAAAAGAAGGTCCCAGCTGTTACATCAGAGCATAAGAAGAAGAAGAAAGTCAGATTTGGTGTGTTGGAGCATGAGAAAAAGAAATTCCCAGTTGTTGAATTAGAGCATAAGAAAAAGAAGGTCCCAGCTGTTACATCAGAGCATAAGAAGAAGAAGAAAGTCAGATTTGGTGTGTTGGAGCATGAGAAAAAGAAATTTCCCCCAGTTGTTGAATTAGAGCATAAAGAAAAAGAAGGTCCCAGCTGTTACATCAGAGCATAAGAAGAAGAAGAAAGTCAGATTTGGTGTGTTGGAGCATGAGAAAAAGAAATTCCCAGTTGTTGAATTAGAGCATAAGAAAAAGAAGGTCCCAGCTGTTGAATCAGAGCATAAGAAGAAGGTCCCAGCTGTTGAATCAGAGCATGATAAGAAGAAGAAAGTCAGATTTGCTGTGTCAGTGCATAAGAAGAAAGCTGCAGTTGTTGCATCAGAGCATAAGAAGAAGAAGAAGAAGAAAGTTGCAGTTGTTGCAGCAGAGCATAAGAAGAAGAAGAAGAAGAAAGTTGCAGTTGTTGCAGCAGAGCATAAGAAGAAAAAGAAAATCACAGTTGTTTCATCAAAGTATAAGAAGAAGAAAGACTCAGTTGTTGCATCAAAGCATAAGAAGAAGGAGGTCCCAGTTGTTGTATCAGAGTGTAAGATGGTCCCACTTGCTACTTCAAACCATAAGAAAGTCCCAGTAGCTGCAACAGAGCATGCAGAGGTCCCATCTACATCAGAGAGTACAAAAGAGACTTCATTTGATTCATCAGAAAATAACACAAATAATATAATTAATAAATCAAAGAGAGCACATAAGACTTGCCTTGATACTTCAAAGAATGCCAGTAGGGCCTGCCGTGCTACATCAAAAACTACGTATAAGTCCAACCTTGCTTCTTTGATGAATGAGCGTATGATCCCCCTCTCTGAATTAAAGAAAGCAATGAAGGGCTACCACGTTAAATTGAATAATGATAGAGCTTACTTTGCTGCTTTAAAGATTGCAAATATGATTCAACTTACTCACCTGAAGAGTATAACTGAACCCTGCCCAGCTAGATTAAAGAGGAAAAGAAAGGTCAAGAAAATCAAGGTTAGGAATGTTAATAAGGCTCACCTAGGCACAAAAAGAATTGGCAGGCACCATTATGATATGTTAAAGGAAGGTAATAAGACCTTAAGCAGGGACCACCTTGCTATACAAGAGAGGTTCATGAAGACTGTTAATGATACACAGAGATGTGAGTTGGGTTCTTTTCATTCACAGGAGCATTTAAATCCAAATGACCCTTCAGAGCCAACCACAAGGCAGAATGCCTTGTTTGACCTCTTCTATCCCAAGAGCCCTAAAACACTCAACTCTCCCAGTAAGTATGTACTTTTATTTGTCTACAAACTAAATTGTGTATACAGGTGTCCTTCGCTTTATGTAATAGATGTATTTCTGGCCCATTCAGGAGGAGGTCCATTCAGTAAACAACCAAACTTTAGTGTGTGAAAGTTTGATTATACTTGTAGAAATTTCAGGTATATTAGGTCTTGATTAGTGCAAATAATGAAGCCCATGAAGTGGTCACATTATTTGCACTACATGTTCAGTATATGTAATTTTTGCAAACAATTTGAAGAGTGTGAGGAAAGAAAACCAACCTTTTCTCAATATATATGGTATGACTGCATTGCTGCTCATGGCCCAAGGATGGCTGTAACCTTATACAGTGGACCCCCACCTTATGAACGCATCGTGTTATGTTAAATCCACCATACGAAGCATTTGAACGCAAAAATTTTGCCTCGCCTCACGATAAAAAACTCGCCTTACGTGATTCATCCGGGACACGTCCCACGTGTGGCCTCAGCTCCAGTGTTTACAAGCCAGCCAGTGCAGTCGCGTCTATGCATACATTCGGTACATTTCACATTATTTATTTATTTATTTATTTATTTATAAATTTTAGCATACATACAGAGGTACAAAAAAAAATACAGGTAAGAGCAGCATGCCAAAACCACTTATATGCATAGCATTATGGGCTGGCTTAAAATTAACTTAAGATTAACTAAGCAATGATGAAATCAGTGATAAGACATTATTGTAAACAGATAACTATAAAATACAAATGAGTATTACAAAGACAGGTCATATGGTTGCATGCATTGCTGTTCATTCAGTAGAATGGAGTATTCTGTTAGGTAGTGTATTTAAAAAAAAAAAAAATAACAAAGTTAGGTTTAACATTTGTGTGATATAATTGTGAGTAACATTTAGGATATACAATTTATATGGTTCAGTTATTCAGTATTTATTTGGTTTTGGGTGAGTAAGTGAACTTTGAGAAGAGACTTGAATTTATAAACAGGTAGTGTTTCTTTTATATTTACAAGTAATGAATTCCAGATTTTAGGGCCTTTTATGTGCATTGAGTTTTTGCATAGCGTGAGATGGACACGAGGAACAGTGTTTTTAGTGCTTGGACCCCAAGAAAGCTTCTAGTGCCATCCCTGTGGTAAAAAGGGCGAGAATTAGTATGGAATTGAAAAAAGAGATTAAGGAAGTGTGTGCAAAGTGGGTTGAACTGCAAACCTTTACGGATGAAAATCACCCTGACACAGCTACTGCAAGCCGTGTTGGCAACCTGTACAATGACAATGTTATGGCCCATTTTAGGAAAGTCTTAAAGGAATGGGAGGTACAGAGCTCTATGGACAGATTTGTTGTGCAACAGAGGTCCAGTGACTCTCAAGCTGGTCCTAGTGGCATTAAAAGAAGAAGGGAAGTAACCCCGGAAAAGGACTTGCTACCTCAAGTCCTAATGGAAGGGGATTCCCCTTCTAAACAATAACTCCCACATTCTCCCCTCCTCCCATCCCATCAGTCATCACCAGATCTTCAATAGCGGTAAGTGTCATGTATTCTATTCTTAGTAGAGTAGTAATTGTGCATGTCTTCTTCAGTTTGTGTGTATTAACCCTTTGGGGGTTTCGGCCGTACTAGTACGGCTTATGCCCCAGGGTTTTTGATGTACTAGTATGCCTAAATTCTAGCACCCTCAAATCTGGTGAGAAAAAGCTGGTAGGCCTACATATGAAAGAATGGGTCTATGTGGTTAGTGTGCGCAGTATAAAAAAAATCCTGCAGCACACAGCGCGTAATGAGAAAAAAAAACTTTGACCGCGTTTTTGGATTAAAACAGTGACTTTGCACTGTATTTTCATATGGCATTTATTGTTGTATTCTAGTTTTCTTGGTCTCATTTAATAGAATGGAAGACATATTACAGAAATTGAGATGATTTTGACTGGTTTTAAAATGAAAAGTACCTTGAAATTGAGCTCAAAGTAGCAGAAATGTTCGATTTTTACCGAAGTTCAAAAGTAAACAAATCATGCCAAGTGTCCAATACACGTCACCTGGTGAGTCTAATATTCTTTCACAAGTGTGCTGATATTATTTATTACATTTCTACACTAATGCAGTAGTCTGCATAACAGTAAATCTTCTATTTTTTGCAAGAATAAAAATTCAAAGTGGAAAGCCAAAGAAATATAAGAGGGGCCTGGGGATGTGACTAACGAACAGAGAACTTGTTATTTTAGTGCCAGGAATGTCTGTCTTGTTTATTTTGGACCCTATTCGGAAATTGGCATCTTTTGAAATTTGTGGGAAATTGGCAAAATTGCTAAATTCTGACCACTTTATTGGATAGCCAGATAGTTCCTGGCTATGGAACTGAACTTCTCCAGGCTGAGGGACTGACAACCTCAAATCTACGACTTCAAGGGTGATGGACTGATTACATCGTCTCCACATCTCTACTGTTCCTGCCTACTTTCTGTATTCGACTGAAGAAGCCTACTGTGTAGGCGAAACGTTTCGGAATAAAGTTGCCTAACTGTTGCCTATGTGTCTTACCTTCACAGGGTTTGACAAGGTTAAGGATCCCTGGCTTTATTGACAAGCTATTTACAGGTTAAGGATTCCTAACTTTATTGACAAGCTAAGAGCTGTTACCTACATCAGCTCATTTGAAAGTATTTTTATTGTTATGAGACATACAAGTATTTTTATTGTTATGAAACATGCAAGTATTTTTATTGTTATGAAACATACAAGTATTTTTATTGTTATGAAACATACAAGTAAGGAACAGGATGAAGTTGGACCCATCTGTGGGCCAGCATTTTCATCTGATCAACTGACTTTATCTCGTTGACATCATAATGCTGTACGAATGTGTTCCATACTCGAGTCATCCTGGGGATATATGATCTCAGATGAAGTGATGTTCTGGAGAAGGGTACAACCAAAGTGAAGTTGCTGCTTTCTGCCCGTCTTGTGGTATAGAAGCTTGCTTCATGCTGTCCTCGAAGTGGATCCAAGTGTGGTACTTTGACAATATTGGCCTTGTACACAACAGTAAGGCCACCCACATCCCTCTCTGTCTCTCTCTCTCTCTGTCTCCCTCCCTCCCTCGCTCTCTTTTTTTTTTTACACAGGGTTTGACAAGGTTAGGTTAAGGATCCCTAGCTTTATTGACAAGCTATTTATAGGTTAAGGATTCTTAACTTTATTGACAAGCTAAGAGCTGTTACCTACATCAAGTCATTTGAAAGCATTTTTATTGTTATGAAACATACAAGTAGGGAACAGGATGAAGTTGGAGCCATCTGTGGGCCAGCATGTTCATCTGATCAACTGACTTTATCTCGTTGATATCATAATGCTGTACGAATGTGTTCCAGACTCAAGTCATCCTGGGAATAAATGATCTCAGATGAAGTGATGCTCTGGAGAAGGGTACAGCCAGAGTGAAGTTGCTGCTTTCTGCCCGTCTTGTGGTATAGAAACTTGCTTCATGCTGTCCTCGAAGTGAATCCAAGTGTGGTACTTTTACAGTATTGGCCTTGTACATAACAGTAAGGCCACCCACATCCCTCCTGTGTTGAAGGCTCTGCTGAAATGACAGATCTATCCAGGATTGGTCCAGACGAGAGATGAGGCATTTTGCTCTGCTCTCTACTCTGTCAATCAGTCGCAGATGAGAAGGGGGCCAGGCGAACCAAGAAAGTGGAGCATACTCAAGGTGTGAGCGTACTTGTGCCTTGTACATAATCTTGCAACCCCTGCTGTCAAGCAGATTCGAGATACGGCGAAGTGCTGTAAGCTTCCTGGCTGCCTTGTTTGCAAGATTTACAACGTGGTGTTTCATGGTCAGTTTGGAGTCAAATTTCACCCCAAAGATATCAACTTCTTCCCCAACACCCTCCCATTTATCCTTACCACTGCACCAGCATTACCATCTTGGTGCCTAGAGATCATCATTATAGCATAGAGCCTGCAATTCCCAGAGCTTGCAGTTTTGCTAAGAGGCCCTGGTGCCACACCCAGTCAAAAGCACCAGCAATGTCCAGTGCTACCACACAGCTGACTTTGGATTCATCCAGTGACTGGTGCCACTTAGTAGAGAGGTTTAACAACAGATTAGCAGCAGAGTAACCTTTCTTGAAGCCATATTGACGGTCACAAAGTAGTGAGTGGTAGTCAAAAAACTCTGTCATTTGTCTTGAGATTTGTTACGAAAAATGCGATTTCTAATAAGCATAGAGATCTCCAGTGAATACTAGAAAGGACTGCCCTTCTAGCATCCAGCCTGTTATTGGATTTTCGTAACAAGCAGTCAGTATCCTGGTCCAATTATCCATTAGAATTCAATAAGAATTATTAGTGCTTCAGGATTACAACTGGTAGGCTACTAACTAGAGAAATTAAAATTTAATAAATTTATTAATAGCAGTCTAGAGGTATAAGATCAAAGTAAATTAAATTAATCAATTGAATATAATATAGGATACAAGTTCCTACACTTCTTTCGTGTACAGTAGTATTGTGCTTAAGGCACATATCACATTTATACGTCTTAAGCACCGTCTGGTACATTAACATTTAATAAGATATTACAAATATGTACAAGTTTGTGTGTGTGTAAGTGCTCTAAGTAGTTCGCTATGTCTCAAGACTCGACTAGACTTAAACCAGTGACTGACAAAGCCCTCACATCAACTAACTTCTTGACCACCTGGCAATCAGAACAGCTTGCTTGAACAATAAAACGATTGCTAAGCCCAATAGCTATATAACAAGCAACTGCGACACAGAATCAGGATCAAGGAGATAATATAACAACACTAAGTAGGGACCATCTGCAGATCCTCCACAAAAGTCACAAAACTCCCATACTACTGAATCTAAGTTCAGCATAAGAAAATCCCCGACTGTGACAGTACACAGATACCAGTACAAGTTAGGTCAGAAGCTACAGCTCAGGGCCTGAGTTGCTCAGAGTGTCTATGCGACACACAACCTCAG